CAAGCGTCCGTCAGGCGGCCAAAGCAGCGCTGGGTGGAGTGCGCACCCCCGCACTGGTCACCCGCGCGGTCGCCGGTGCGGAGGACGTAGGTGCACGGACCAGTACCCCCACCCCTCTGGCGTGCAGTGTACCACTCACGGAGCTGCTGAGGGGAGGGGATGTCACGAGTGCGCTGCTGCTGCTGCTGCTGCTGCTGCTGGCGCTGACCACCACCGGAGCCGACCCTCTGCGCAGCGCCACCCCGACCAGCTCCACCTCCTCCGCCGCCTCCTCCTCCACCGCCGCCACCTCCGCTCCCACCGCCACCGCCGCCTCCGCCTCCGCCTCCACTGCCGCCACCGACACCTCCACCCCCGCCACCACCCCCACCTCCACCCCCACCCCCTCCACCGCCTCCACCTTCGCCTCCACCGCCCCCGCTAGCTCCTCCAGTGCCCCTGCCCCCCTTGCCCTTGCCAGGGCGACGTCTCCCGCTAGGGGTAGACGCCGCACCGACCGACTCAAGCCCAACGAGGTCGGCCGCAGCAGCAGAGGCAACAGAGGGCAAAAGGGGGGAGGGGGAACACCCCTCAAAGATGGGGGTGCGAGGGTCACCACGAGAGGCTCCTACAGCGACTATGCTCTTCTCTGCTGCTAGGAGGGACTTCTCGAGGAGGTCAACGGTGAGAGTGGTAGGGCAAACTGAGAGGAAGTGGTCCCTGACTATGCGAAGGGAGTCAGGGAGCCGGGTGACTATGTAGTAGAGGGTGATGTACATGGGGGGGGGGGTTCTTGGCGCAGAACTCAGCAGGAAGCGCAGCGCGGTAGCGAGTGTCACTAGTGCGGAGGTGCGTAATGAGGTCAGCGACTGTGGGAAAGGCAGCAAGGTCAGGGAAGAGGTACGGTAGCATGAGGCGGCTCAGTGCAGCAGTGGCAGGGGAGGAGTAGCGCGCAACTACAGCGTCGTACAAGGTCTGAGCACTCTTGTACTGGCTAAAGTGCGCACGCTCAGAGGTAGGCAGGTGGCGACGCACAGCAAGACGTGCAGCAGCATCGCGCGTGGCCCACTGTGAGCGAACAGTGGCGTCAGCATCAGCAGCGGGGGCAGGAGAGGCACCAGAAGTGAGGTCAAAGAGGGAGAGGCCGTCTGCCCTGTCGCACTGTAAGAAAAGCTGCAGGTCATCTATCCAGACATCAAAGTCAATGGCCCGACCCTCAGCGTCAAAAGCGAGGACACTAGGGGTAGCCATGACAGTAGTAGACTAGCAGCGCAAACAGTAGGGTGAGGGCAGTGCTGTGAAAGGGGCGCTGCTCTTACCGGACAGGGCGGCTCGGGTGGCTCGGCTGCAGGGCGGCTCGGCGGCTCGGCTGCTCGGCGGCTCGGCGGCTCGGCGGCTCGGTTGCTGGGCGGCTCGGCGGCTCGGCTGCTGGGCGGCTCGGTGGCTCGGCTGCTGGGCGGCTCGGCTGCTGGGCGGTTCGGCGGCTGGGCGGCTCGGCTGCTGGGCGGCTCGGCGGCTCGGCGGCTCGGCCGTTCGGCTGCGACTGCTGCTGCAGAGATGGCGGCGGCTGCTGCCTCAGGGACGGCAGCGGCCGGCCGCTAGGGGCCGCGTCAGGTGCAGGAGAGGGCCACGTCAGGGGCGGCGTAGGGGCCGCGGCAGGGGCGGCGAAGGGGCCGCGTCAGGGGCCGCGTCAGGGGCCGCGGCAGGGGCCGCGGAAGGGGCCGCATCAGGGGCCGCGTCAGGGGCCGCGGCAGGGGCCGCGGCAGGGGCCGCGTCAGGGGCCGCGTCAGGGGCCGCGTCAGGGGCCGCGTCAGGGGCCGCGTCAGGGGCGGCGTAGGGGCCGCGTCAGGGGCCGCGTCAGGGGCCTCGTCAGGGGCCGCGGCAGGGGCCGCGTCAGGGGCCGCGTCAGGAGCGGCGTCAGGGGCGGCGTAGGGGCCGCGGTAGTGGCGGCGGAGGGGCCGCGTCAGGGGCCGCGTCAGGGGCCGCCTCAGGGGCAGCGTAGGGGCCGCGTAGGGGCCGCGTCAGGGGCCGCGGCAGGGGCCGCGTCAGGGGCTGCGTAGGGGCCGCGTCAGGGGCCGCGTTGGGGCCGCGTCAGGGGCGACGTAGGGGCCGGGTAGGGGCCGCGGAGGGGCCGCGTAGGGGCCGCGTAGGGGTCGCGTAGGGGCCGCTAGGGGGGGGCCGCTAAAAAAAAAAATTAGGGCAGGGGCGCAATGCGCGTCGGGCAGCTAAAAAAAAAAATTCGTTATGGTGGGCCCTTAGGAAGGAACGGTCCCATGTAGGAACCCGCTCTATACCATGTGAATTAAGAAAACAGGAATGAAATGACTAAGTGAAAGTTGGGTACAAAAAGCAAACCCTAGAAAACTGTACCCCATATGTGCTACCCCACTATAGCCTACAGTAGCTATGTCATATAAATCTGACATAATGTTTGACACTTAAGGGTCAGCAGGGCGGTGCGCGCGTAGCTAGGGCAACATTAGGCAGTGCAAAGGCTGCAGGACGGCTCGCGCAGCGCAGCACGTCACAAGGCAAGGCAGGCGAAGGCGCGCGCAGGACAACACGTGGGGTAGCACGGTAACCGCAACGGTAGGTGGGCCCGGGAAAAAAAAAAAAAACGGTCCTACGGACCTAGTGCTCTGAAACCATGTTAGAATGTAGTAGCAATTATAAATGAACAATGGAAGTGTTGGGTACAAGTATGAAACCCAAAAAGGGGTTGTACCCCATATTGGCTACCCCACTACAGCCTAAACATACATAGCATACATATACTTTGACACCTTCTCGTATAATTGTCGCGTGGTCGTGCAGGGTCGCAGTACATCGATCCTTTGTGAGATCAGGTTCAGAGACATTTAAGCGCGACTCGACCAAAATGTGTTTGCGACACTTTCTTAAGCAACATGTCCTTAGCGAAATGTACACTAAGAATGAAATGGTTAAACAACAATTCCATATCGTAACAAATATCAAATGAAATGGTTCAACAACACTTGGTAACAAATATTGGCTTTGTCATGATCTCCACTTTCCAGTATCAACTTTCCAACTATCGCGGGCGAGTATGCAGTATGAGTGTAACGTGACAATGGCTAGTTTCCATCTTTTGTATGAGATGGCGTGATATAGCGATTCCTTCGGGAAACTCAGTATTATATTTTGGTTATTAGACAAACAACAGTTATTTTTTAGATTTTGTTCGAATTGTGCCTGTTGTTGGAGCCGTTATAGAAAAGGTCACGGGTGAATGCGATGATACAGAAGGAACGTAGTTGTTCAGGAAGTGCACATGGTACTTTTATGTATCGTGTGGGAGCACTATGAAATAGCAGTTAAGCCATACATACACCCAGCCATATTACAATACATGACTGGGAGTGAATCTGTGCTTGGAAAGGTCAGTGTGTTATGGGGTACAGCTGTCCTGCGGTTGAAGGCAACACTCACATTTGTAAGAAGACGTTTGCCTTGTTTGATGACAAGGTGCATGCCTGATGAGTGGCCTTCCGTGAAGCAGGGGATACATTCCTCTCCGACAGACAGGGAGCAAGAATCTGGGAAGTCGTTTTGCTCCCGCAATCATTTCCAGAAGATCTCGGAAGCATGGTTTTGGCGCAATTTTGCTTAGATGATTTTGCCGGGCACTGAATTCACTATGAATCCTTTGCATTGGAGTGAGCTCCGCAGAATGTTGAGAATGAATTGCGACTTCTCTTGCCTGTCAGTCTCTTATCCAGTTCTGGTACAGCATTACCACTCCATTTCATGACCTTGGAATGGCGGCAAACAAAGGAATTTACTCTGACGCCGTAAGTGCCTTATCCACACGATCCGCTCTCTTGGAGGTGTTCGCCGCAATTGAAGCGTGTAACAAGGTTTTTCGGATACAGTACGAGTACGAGACACTCTTGTGAACATTGGGGACAGGAGGAGCCAACAGTGCTTTAAAGCTTAATTCAGCGGGCAGTCTGAAACATAACAGAGTCTGAAATACACACTATACACGTGCACTCACGGAGTAACTGCTGGTGTACAGTTAGCGTAATCGTCACAAGGTTTTGTGTTTTTTTGAAGTGCCTTCAGTCTTTAATGGTGGTGGTGAGTAGGAGTCCCGATCTCGAGGCATTTCTTCGCGGAGATGGAGAACCCGTGATTGGACTAGCGGACTGTCCCCTTTGGGATAGCGATACTGAAGAAACAAGCCACAAAGTTCCAGGTTCGCCAATAGTGCCCGTAAAGATACGCCTCATCTCGGGCAGTCACAGAGCTTGGCTGCTCGGGCAGCCATTTTGCACATTTCGACTGTGCTCCAACCACGATTTCTTTCTGCCCCTCCCAGTCTGGCTGCGCCCCTCTCGACCGCAGGGGGCCAAGTGCATGGTTCCTCGTCCACATGTCGCACGTTTCGACGGCTGCCATTGCATCGCCGTGCATCGCTTGTGCGGCCAATGAAGACACCACCATGCCCCGCGTGTCGGACATTCTCCCAGCATGAAACTGTGAGAAACCAACTCGCCTGTGCTTCAGGGCAAGGTTAGGATTCATGGCAACACATATGAGTGCATGGACCCAGGCTGGACTGCCAAAGGCGTAGCCGAGAGGGGGACATAGGACGCTAATCAGTGCCTAGTGAGGTAATTAGCTCCCCCAGTTGTTTTCATCTGGGTGCTGCTAGCGTTTCGAGCACGCGAATTCGCCTGTTCGCTCGAAGCACCCGTGTCGGTTTTCGTCGTTGAACTCGTTATTAGGGCCTTTATGCCGACCAATAGAAGTGGTATCTCCCACGTCTCCGCGGTTCTTCTCTAATGCGATCTGCTGTTCCTTCCCGCGTCTTCTAACCAGTTCTGGATCTATTGATCAGCACTTAAGCTGCAACGACTACATGCAAGTCGCTAGCTGATCATAAAGCGCTTTAAAGATCGTCACCAACTGACCCTTATAAAGATACACCTCAGTTGGTATCTAAGTACTTTTCCATAGGTTGAGGGTTAAGTGGGTGTCGGAGGTTGTAGCGAGGCATGAGGGCTCTAGTGGTAGCCGGCACGCATGGCGGCGTGGGATGCACTTGGTTCACGCTCGGCCTATTGGCGGCGCTGCGGCGTCGAGGCCTCACGGTGCAGCCTCTGCGGCTCGGACCAGGTAACCCCTTCCTCTAACCCCCTCTCTCCGCCACGTGCTGCTCGCCTCATCCCCTCCGTTCTTCCGCACTTCTTCGTAAACCTAGCCTCCAGTTTTGTCCCACATCTGTATCGTTCCACCCGTCGTCCGTTCTTTCGCGTGCTTGTCTGCATCTACATGTCAAAGTAAGCTGCGTGCTGTGCCTTTGAGGCACCTCAAAACCACTCTCCATGTGCTGTCTGCGTGTGTTGCCTGCTTCATGAGCAGAGCCGCTGGACGCGGGGCCCTACGTGGCGGCGTGCGGTCGAGAGCCCATCAATCTGGACGCATGGATGGCTCCAGGGTACGCCATGGGCGGGCTATTTTAGGGACCGGGGGGATACGATTCAGTTTTTTAATGGCGCAAATCCAAGTCGTAGTTAATTACTGTCAACCATCCCAAGATCCGCGCAGAACGGCCAAGATTGGTGAAAGAGTAATAGCTTTCAGCAGCTTGTTGGAAGGATCAAGACCGAAGGGAGATCCCGGATAGAAGTAGCAAGGCACGCATGCATGTGGCCGCATGGTTGCAGTTGTTGTCGCTTCCGCTACCACTTAGACTTCCGGGTCCGTCAACCGCTTCTGTCACTAATGCGTTTCGTATCGCCCGCGTGCTTGCATCTCATCGCCGCAGGGACCTAACTCGCGCCTTGTTTAACCGACGCGCGGCCGGCGCGGATGTAGCGGTGGTGGAGGCGGCGGGCGGAGTGTTTGACGGGTGGGACGGCGGAAGGGCGGACGGCACGGGCAGCGCGGCGGAGATGGCGAAGCTGCTGGGGGGCCTTCCCGTGCTGCTGCTCCTCGACGGCCGCTCCGCCGTGCGCTCCGCTGCCGCGCTCATCCACGGATTCACATCCTTCGACCCATCTCTCACGTTCGCGGGGATGCTGCTCAATATGGTGCGCGGATAGCCGACGGTTCGCGGGGGAAGGGTCCGGGTTTCAGGAACGGTTCTCCTCCCTTATTCTGTGCGATGTTCCCCCTGTTACACTCTCTTGCAACCATAGGCTGCCGTCACTCCGTGCTCACCCTCCGTCACTCTTATCGCCTTCTTAATCTCTCCAGCCGATCCCCCTTTCCCTACTTCCCTCTCTCTCGCCTCCTCTACTTGTTCTCTCCCGTGGTTCTTATCCCCTCACTTCTAGCCCTTTCCTGTCATCTTCCCCGTGTCGTTCCCCTTACCTCCCCCACTGCTGTTCATTCCCGTGGCTCGCATCTGGGCGCGCGCAGGTGGAGAGCGAGGCGCACGCGCAGTGGATGTGGGACGCGCTCTCCGCCGCGGACGTGCGCCTGCCGCTCATCGGCGCGCTGCCCTTCCTCCCGCACCTCTCGCTCTCCGCCATCCTCTCCTCGCCCTCCTCCCCCACCCACTCCCCGCCGTCCTCTCTCCTCTCCTCCCCGCTCCCTGACTCCCTTTCCTCCGCGTCCTCCCCGCCAGTCTCCCCCGGCCCGTCCCCCCATCTATTCTCCGCGCTAGCCGACGCCGTGTCGCACTACGTGCACATTCCGCGCCTCCTCTCCGCCTGCGCCTCGATCCTGCTGCCTCCGCCGTCGTTTCCGCTCTCCTCCCCGGGGGGTGCGGGCGGGCGGCGCAAGGTGGTGCGCATGGGGGTGGCGCGGGACGCGGCGTTCTGCCTCGTGTACCAGGAGAACCTGCTGCTGCTGCAGGGTGAGCGGAGAATGGGGGAGTAGAGCGGCGCATGGTGGAAGGGGGAGAGGGTGGGGGTGGAATGAGTGGAATTGTAGGGTGAGTGTATGAAGCACAGGAGGGCTCTGATGCGGGAGTTAAGATAAAGCGAGTGGCGGTCTGCGCTAGCACGACTCGTGACAGTACGAATTGCGCATTTGCCTCCACTCTTCTCCCGTCGCTCCTCTCACTCACTCTCCCTCTCGCCCTGGTTCCTGCCTTTTCCCGCTCTCCCCCCTCTCCCGTCCTCCCTTGCCGTGTATTTCCCCCACTTGCGCCATCACCTCCCTCCCCATGATCAGAGGCGGGAGCGGAGCTCGTGTTCTTCTCGCCGCTCGTTGACCCCCTTCCGCCGCGCCTCAACGCCGTCTACCTGCCGGGCGGTCGCCTCGCGCCTTTCGCGCCTCGCCTCTCCGCCAACCGCCAGCTCCGCTTCGGCCTGCGCGCATTCGCCGCGGCGGGAGGCTTGGTGCTGGCAGAGTCCGCAGGCACCGTGTTCCTTGCGCACTCGCTGCAGGTCCGCGCGCGCCTCCCCTCCGCCTCTTCCGCTTCGTACTCTCCCCCTGCAACCTCCGTTCACACCAATCGACTCTTCTTTTCCGCGCTCCCGTTCCGCATTCCCTCGACAATTTGCGCACTTCTCCCGTCTCCCGTCCCGTCCCCTCCCCCCACCCCCCCCCCCTCTTCCCCCCCTCCCCCCCCCCCCCCTCCTCCCGCTTTACCCGCTGCAGGGCACGGACGGCGCGGAGTACCCCATGTGCGCGCTGCTGCCCTTCACGGCGCGCGAGCTGCACGCGCCACCCGCGCCGTCGTACTGCCTGGTGAGTGCGCCGTTCCCTTGCACCATCCTCCCCTTGTGCCGTCGTCCCCTTCCCGCTGTTGCGTTCAATTTCTCCTATCCTACCTTCCGCCTTCGTGACACCTCCCCCCTTCCGCCCCCCGGTACCGCTCTTATCCTCGCATCCTTACCGCCATCCTTCCGCTGCACCGTCTGGGCCCCGCTTCTCCACGCCCTTACGCTTGGATGTTTTCCCCGGCGCGCTTTGCCCCCACCCCTTCCCCCCGCCAGGTGCGCCCGTCCCTGGGGTCGCCGCTCTTCGACCCTACTCTTGCGCCCATCCGCGGGTGCCTCGTCGCGGTGGCGGAATTCACCCCGCTGCGCAACCACCCCGCGCCGCCGCCCGCGCCTCCGCAACTTCAGCGCCCCGATCTCAATGGGTGCGTTGACAGGGGCCCGTAGAAACGCATTCATTTAGCGGCTCGCGTGGGCGGACGGGTTGGCGGAAGGGTGGGCGCAAGGGTGGGCGCTCGGATGAGCACGTACGAGGGCAAGGGTGGGACGGTCACACGTGGGTGGCTGAATGGGTGGCATCGACTGGCAGGTAGCAGCGCATACGGGCGTTGCGCATTACCGCTCCCCGTAGCCGCATACGCCTTCATTTCGCGCCTGTTTCGCCTGTTTCTCCTGCGCACAGCCTGTGCCGCGCTCCCCACTCATTGGCTTCCCCCCTGCCCCATCCCCCCGTCCCCCCCTCTCCCGCGCAACCGCACAGCTTCCCCACGGAGCTCGCGTTCCCCTCCGCCGTGCGCCGCCCGCTGCCTGCGCGTTTTCCCCCCGGCGACGCCAAGGACCCGCTCGCCGGCGCGGCGGGGGCTGCGGGGGCGGACGGCCTAGGCGCGGTGCGGCGGGAGGGCGTGGTGGTGGGCGGCGCGGTGGCGTCGCAGCTGCACCTATGCTTCGCGTCCAACCCCTGCGCCGCGCCTGCCGTCATTCAGCACGCGCTGTAGGGCCGCCTGCTCTACCTCCCCCTCCGCCTCCTCCTCCGCCTTCTGCTCTGGCTCCCCCCTCTACTCTCTCTCGCCCCTTGCGCGCCCTACCTGCGTGCTCACGCCGCTCGTCCACCACCTTTCTCGTAGCGTGCACCCACTTACTCTCGTTTCCGTTGCGCTCATTTTCGCTTTTCCTCGCCTACCCTCATCCCGTCTTCTCCTCCCCGTGTTCTTTCACATTCTAATCTCCAGCATATTTTCCAGCAAGGCAGCGTCAGTTGCGGCGGCTTCGGCGGCGGCTGTCGTGGCGTCCGGCGCGGAGGCGGCAGCTGCGGCGGGAGCGGCGGCGGCCGCGGCGGTGGACCGAGTATTGGACGAGCCATGCACACCGGACGCGATGTCTTCGCCGCGCCGCTCCTGCTCCTCTGTCTTTTCCCCCTCCCCCTGCGCCTCTCCCTCCCCGTGGTCCCGCCGTCGGCGCAGCGAGAGCTCTCTGCTGCTCGCGGATTGCGCCACTCCGGGTCGTCACGGCGCCCCCGCTCCTGGTTTTCCGCCCTGCAACGCGCAGCCGTCTCATCTTCCGCCGTTTCCGCCGCCATCCGCACGCGCTTTCCTGCACTCCGCGTCCGCCTGCTCCTCCGCGTGTCCCGGGTGCTGGGACATTTCCCTCGCCTCCCCGCGCGCCTCCCCGCGCTACGCCACTCCGCGCGACGCCGCTCCGTGCGCCAGACCGCGGGAGTGCAGGGATCTAGGCCAGGGGGAATGGGGCGGCGCGGCGGACGGCGGAGAAGGCATGGGCGCGGCGGAGGGATGGGGGGGGCGGGCGGAGCAGCGCGGGTGGCTGAGACGGTCCGAGACGTTTGCGGTGGGGGAAGGGGGGATGCGGGGCGTGGGGAGCGGATGGCGGGAGGTGCGCGCGGAGCAGAGCGGTGATATAGCCTGGGGAGCCATGCCGGGGGAGTACGGGGGCGCGGCGGAAAGGGACAGGCGGAACGGATTCCGCGCATGGGCGCAGGTGTACGGCATCGGGGGGAGAATGGGCGAGGGGGAGGGGCGGGCGGGGGAGAGAGGCGCGGTAGTGAACAGCGGAAGCGGCAGTTGCAGCAGCGCGTGCGACAGCGGAAGCGGGAATGGGAGCGGTGGCTTTCCCATCACGAGCACGACGAGCACGAGCAGCAGCGGCAGTTGCGGCAGCGGCGTTTGCGAGGTGCCTGCAGGGGTGACGCACGAGCGGAAAGGGAGCGGCGGAGGGATGAGCGGGACCAGCAAGGGCGACGAGGTCGCAGCAGCGGCGGCGGCGGCGGCAGCGGAGGAGAAGGCGGCTGCGATGGAGAGCGCTGCGGAGCGGATCAAGAGCATGCGCGCGGAGCAGATGCGCGTGATGGGGCTGGAGGGGCCGGTCCCCGCGAGCCGCATGCTGCGCGTGCGGAGCGACCTCCGCGGGTACGCTGGGTGGGCGCGAGGCGCGGAGGACGGCAGAGACGGCAGCGGGTTCAGGGACGCGCGCCGATCCAGCTGCGACTCGCCTTCTAACGGGGATGATGCAAGCCGTGGCTATTACTGCAGAGGAGGCGGAGGCGGATGCGCAGGGGGACTGCGGAGGGGGGAGCGCGGCTCGCGGAGCATGACGATCCGCGAGAGCGAGGAGGCGGACGCCGCTTCCCCCTCGTACCGCCCCCTGCTCTCCATCCCTTCGCCCTCCTCCGCCCTCGCCCCCATGCGCCGTACCCGCTCCGAACTCTGGCCCGCGCGCCCCCCTCCGCTGCCGCTCGTGGCGGAGGGCGGGGCGGCGGAGGGCGCGTGGGGGCAGCGCGGGAGTGAGGGGAGGGGCAGGCGGAGCTGTGAAGGCATGGGGGACGTTCCAAGGCGGGCGCGCACGCAAGTGGGGGGAAAGGGGGAGAGGTATGCGCAGGGCGGGGGGAACCTGTGGGGAGAGGGGGACATATTGGCGGAGGGGAACGGGAGGAGGTGGCGGCGCGCGTCGTTGGAAGGGGGCGCGCGGGGAGGATGGGGGGAGGTATATGGGGGGAGTGCAGTCGCTGTAGTGGGGGAAGAGGAGGCGGGGGAGGATACGTGCGGAGAAGGGGAGACTGACATGGCGATTGTACGAGTGGGCAGCGGCAGCAGCAGCAGCAGCATTGGCAGCGTGAGTGGCGGAGGGAGTGGGGACGAGAGCAGCGGCGCAGAGGCAGCGAGTGAGGAGCGTGCGGGGGATGTCGAGGGGGAGACGGGCGGAAGCAGCAGCGGGGAAAACGAGGGGGAGCAGTGGGCGGGGATGGGGAGGCGCAGAGTGGAAGCGGGGGGGATTACAGCTCCTGACGGGTCGTGCGACGCTGTAACGCCTCCTCCGCGCTCGTCTGCTCCCCTCATCCATGCCACACAAGCAGCAGCTGCATGCAGAGCAGGCAGCCTGGGCAGCGATACGCCTACTGCATCCTCGGAGCTGGTGGAAGTGGGGGGAGGGGCGCGAGTGGGCGCCATGAGCGCACGAGCGTCCCCCCAGCAGCCCCTGCCGCGGGTGTGCCATCTGCCCCTCGTTCCTGGGCTCGCGCCCTGCCCTGTGCGCAGCGGTGGCGCTGACGTGGCGCAGGGCGGGCTGGGGGAGGGGGCGCCGGGAGGGAAGGTGGGAGGGGAGCAGAGGGGCGCGGGAGAGGTGGTGGTTGGCAGCGAGGGTAGTGGGTGGGCCAGAGAGGATAGCAAGGGTGGCGAGGGTGGGGAGCAGGAGGCAGTGGCGCAGTGCATGGCCGTGTGCTCTGCACTCTCCAGACACATCCTCGCTGCTGCTGCCTGCTCTGCGTCTACAGCACCGCTCAGCCACCTCGTATGCCACTCCCCTCCCTGCTCCTGCTCCACACTCATATCCAATTTCCCCGTCCCTGCTCCCTACTCCACTGTAATTACTGTATGCCGCTCTTCGTCATGACTGCCAAAATTTGTTTATTCATTCTGAGCCTTGTTACGCCCTTAAGAAACACCTGGAAGCCTATTCACCTCAATGAGTGTGCGTCTCTGTCCCCCCCCCCCCCCCCCCCCCCCCCCGTCCCTCGTTCCCACCCACTGCTCCTGTGGTGCAATTGCAGGTGCTCAACCTGGCACACCCCTCCTTGCTCTCCACACTCCTCCCCACGTCCCCTCTCGCCACCCTCCTCTACCACCCGCACTCACTACCTCTGCCTCTGCCTCTGCCTCTGCCTCTCCCCGCCACGTCATCCGCCCTCAATGCTGCCTCGTTACACGACCATCGCCCGCAGCAGCACAGCCGCATTGCAACAGCATGCCTGGCAGCGCAGGAGAATGCTGCGTGGAAGCGTGGGGCACTCGTGTGCAGGCAGGATGCGGAGGGGGTGTCTGTAGAACTGGGTACAGCGGTATCAAAGGGTGGTGGCGCACGGGACGGGAGAAAGGTTGTTGCTGCGCCTGCAGTGGAAGCCTCTGCAGCCTCCCTTTCTTCAGAAGTGGCTCTACTTCAGCCGCGATCGGTAAGCAAGCACTGCCACCCCTTCCCCCCCCCCTTCCCCCCTTCCCCTCCCCAAACAACTGTTCAACTGTCCCCCGTGTCCTCCACATTTGGTGCTGTGTTCTCCTGTTCTTTCTCCCGTGGCCCCGTTCATTTATCTCACATCGGTCCTCCCTTGTTTCCATCCCTTTGCCTGCTCCGTTTCGCCCTGTGCCCTCCTCCCAGCTTGCAGACGTTCTTGATATGCTGGACGCTCATCCCGCCATCACTTGCCCCGCTTCTGCTGCTTCTGCTGCCGCTGCACATGCGCCAAGCGTCTCGGTGTCTGTGCTAAGAGCACGCATTCGAGCGGTGGTAGCAGCAGTGGCGGGGCAGCCTACTGTGCGGGTAGCAGTGGTGCTGCTGCCCTCATCCCACCCCACCTCGTTGTGCCCAGAGTCCACTGAGGCGGGTCCAAAGCATGCTGCAGAGCCTGTGGACCAGCAGCAGCAGCAGCAGCAGCAGCAGCAGCAGCAGCAGCAGCAGCAGCAGCAGCAGCAGCAGCAGGCAGTGGTGGTGCCAGGGCTGTGGGTGGGGGACATGGTGGCACTGGCAGGCGGCAGCGGTGTGGTGGCACAGGAGGCAGGGGGGAGCGCGCGGGCAGTGCAGTGGCAGCATGTGTTGGACAGCGCTCCTGACGCTCTGCTGCTGCTGCTGCCGCCCCACCACGGCCCTTCCATCAGCGAGGTGGGTGCGTGTGTGTATGTGATAGTGTGTGATGAAGGTCTGCGTGATTGTGCCTGGGACTGGGACTGTGCATGTGTATTTGTGTGTGGTTGAGTGGCTGGTGGGTTGCGGGTTGATGCATGTTCTTCAGTAGGTGTTTGTTTGTTTCCATACATTGTCCCTCCGACAGGAGCGTGCTTGACTAACAACTCTAACCCCCATTCTCCTGTGCCTGCTTCCCCCTTTGCGCCTCCTAACACACACAGGCAAGTCTGAATGCCAGTCTACCTGGCTTGGACACACTACCAGCCGCCAGAAGAGGCATGCTGTTTGCATGCCACCACGCCCTCTTTACATGCCCTGGAGCCTCTCTAGTGGATGGACTAGAGCTGCTCGCGCATCTGCTGCATCCCACACGTGCCAACTACCACGGCTCGTCAACAGTGCATCGGCTCGGCGCTTCTATTAACAAATGACGATTGACACAGCTCCGCTGACACCCAGGGACTAGGCCCGATTAACACATGCTCTTTTGCTGCGAAGCAGCAAGGGAGAAACGCCTGACTCAACAGGAATACTCACCATCAGAAGCGAAAGGGAAGGATTTGTTAGTCCTTAAAAATATTCTGGTTGGACAAGGGTGATTCCCTTATGGATGGCATTGTGATATGCTTGTGTTAAGCCTTGCTAAGTGCCAGTTTTTTCCCGAAGGGCGAATCATATTGGTAGCATGCTAATGATGGGCGGTTTGGAATGTCCAAGTGCAATGTAAAACTTCAAATTTCATTTTTACTTACCGTATGTCATACTGTACATTTACATTATGAGGCATTGATCTCTTCTGTTACGAGTGCAATTGAGTGAACGAACGAGAATTGCACTATCGAAGAAAGAGTACAATGAGCGAAGGCATGAGCGAAGAATATATAGCGAAACTACAGTGGTAACGATAATGGACTGTGGTTGTCGCGCGACGGGCCTGGGACTGAGGTTGGGAAAAAGTGTCGAAGCGGAGGCCCGGAGCGCGGGTTACCCGCCGAGTCGTGAGGTCGGGGTGCGATGTGCGAAGGTGGCGGGCAGATTGTCGATGCGAGGGTTGCGAGTGGTAACGGTGCTGGCTGTGGTGCTACAGTGATGTACGCGTTGAGCAGGGATGCGAAGTAAGGAAAAGGAATTTTCCTTACAATACCCCCCCCCCCTTAAGGAGGTCCTCCTTACGAGAGTGCGTGTACATCCCTGAAATTTCGGCTGCGCAGATACTCGGTGAGGACGGGGTGGTTTTCGATTCTGTCCAGGGGAACCCAATTGTCTTCGGTGGGTGTACGGCAGGGCTCTTGCTAGAATTTGGGCCTGTCTGACATACCTAAGTAAAAAAACCGTTCCGTCTGACGTTCAGACGGGCATATTTTTTTGGTCTGATTTTTTGGACGAATGTTAAAGCTTAGTCTGATTCTTCATACGATTCAATTTGCACAGTCTGATTTAGCTAACACACTTGTCTAACATAATCACGCTTGTTTTGTTAATGAACGCGCCCCTGGCGCGGTGCTGACAGCTCGCTAGCTGACAGACAGCTGTGTGGCTATTGAGGGGCACGCACATGACAATGAGGGGCTGCGACGCGAGGGATCAGGGTGGGTGGAGGTGGAGGGACGCGAAGGGAAGGGGGGGCTGGGCTGCGAGACATTAGGAGGGGCATGAAAGCGGGCTAGGCTGGGAGCGAGACCTGGAGAGACCTCAGGTTGGGGAAAGGGGGAGAAGGGTTGGACAGGACTAGGCCTGGAAGAGGAGCGAGGGCATAGAAGGGGGGGCTGAGCTGGTAGAGTAGCGAGAGATCGGGGGGGAAAGGGAGGGTTGGGGGGAGGGGGACCGGTATCAGACGAAAAACAACTCGTTCTCTGAAATTTCAGACTAACTATAGAGCTTGCTCTGAAATATCAGATGAACTAAAATCAGTCATCTTACGGATCAGACGAAATAAAAAGCATCGTCTTAGAGATCAGATGAAAGCGAAAATCTACGTCTGAAAATCAGACCATCAGACCAATTTGGTCTGATAACGAGAGCCCTGCTTCCAGCGGAGTAAGAACTCGATCCTTCGGGCTCCTCGAGGGTCGCGAACTCTGTGACTCAGGATTTTTTCGGGGGTGATGATTGGTTCAGTTGGTGGTCTTGTCATGCTGGTTGGGCGATTGCGTGGCAGTTGGCTCGTGGACGGGACGTAAGGGCGAAGTAGGCTGACGTGGAATGAGGGGCTGACGTACCAGTCAGCAGGGAGGAGGAGGTGGGCGGTGACGGGTGTAAGCATGTGGCTTATGCGAAATGGCCCGCAGTATCGGGGGCGGAGTTTCGGAGTGATGGGCAGTCGGAGGTTCTGAGTGTCGAGTAAAACTAAGTCGTCGGGCTGGTAAGTGACGGGTCTGCGGTGGCGGTCGGCGTTGCGTTTAGCGATGATGTTAGCTTTTTTTATTGCGTCTGCTGCCCTGGTCCGTGCTGCTTGCAAAATTTCGGCGAACTGTTGCGCGCGTGGAACCGGGTTGTCGGGATTCGGGGTCATGGGTACTGTTGGGTCTTGTCCGTAATTCAGGTAAAACGGTGACTGTTGGGTCGTGGCGGATGGGGCGTTGTTGTATGCGAATTCGATGAGTGGCAGTTGCTGTTCCCACGTGTTTGGGTCGTCGCACGTGGCCCGGATGAGCTGTTCCATGGTCTGATTTGTCCGTTCTGTCTGTCCGTCTGTTTCGGGGTGGTACGATGAACTAAACTGTAGTCGCGTGCCGATCTGCTGCCACAGGTTCCGCCAGAAGTTGCTGGTGAATTTCGTGTCTCTGTCGCTGATGATTGATGCTGGTATCCCGTGCAGTCGAACGACGGTAGAGATGAAGAGGCGGGCTGTTTCTTCGGCTGTGATTGTTTTTTTGCAGGCTGCGAAGTGTGCCATTTTCGTCAGTCGATCGACGACGACCAGGATCGCGTCATTCCCACTCGCCCCGGCCGGTAACCCCGTGACGAAGTCCATCGTCACCTGCTGCCAAGCACGCTCTGGAGGTGGGATTGGCTGCAACTGTCCTGCCGGCCGCTTCCGTGTTGACTTCATGATCTGGCAAGTGGGACACGATGCCACGTGTCGCTGCACGTCGGTCAACATTTCGGGCCAGTAATAATACCGCTGCAGCTGCTGCCGTGTTTTCTCTACCCCGAAATGTCCCGAGGTAACCCCGTCGTGTGCCTCTTGTAATAGTAATTCCCGTAGCAGTGTGTACCCTGGTACCCAGATGCGGTCGGTCCCGGCTTTTACGAAATAGACTCCCTTGGCTGCTGCGAACTGCTGCGAATTTCCTCCTGTGAAGAATGGGTCCGTTTGATATCCGTGGGTAAATAGTCCTGTCAGTAGCGGGCTGGTCTGGGCGAGTAGTATCGCGTGGATCTGGGCAGTGGGGCGGGTCAGTGCGTCGGCGATGTTCGAGGCTCCTTTTTTATAGGTGACTGTGTAGTGGAAGTTTGACTCGAGGAAATCGAGCCACCGAATCTGTCGTGGGTTGAGGTGGGGCTGTGCACGGAGGTACTGTAGTGATCGGTGGTCTGTCCGTACTGTCACGTCTGCGCCGGTCAAGTAGCAGCGCCACACTTTGAACGCATGCACGATCGCGAGCATTTCGCGGTCGTGTATCGGGTAATTTCGCTCGGGCGGATGCAGTTTTCGTGACTCGTATGCGATGGGCTGTAGGCCGTTGCCGAAGTCCTGTAGCAGTACGGCTCCAATGGCGATGTCGCTTGCGTCTGTAACAACCTCGAAGGGGCGGTGTGGGTCGGCGATGCGCAGGACGGGCGGTGAACAGAGAACATTTTTCAGGGCAGAGAAGGCAGCATGCTCTTTCTCCCCCCACGTAAAAACGACCCCCTTTCGCAGTAAATCCGTCAGCGGGGCAGTCAACTGTGCCATGTCGGGGACGAACCGACGAACATAATTAACGAACCCTAAAAAACTCTGCAGTTCCGTGATGTTCGTCGGGGGACGCCACGCTTTTACCGTATCCAGCTTCTTTGGGTCGATTTCAACTCCAGCCTCCAAAATAACGTGCCCCAAAAATTCTAGTCTGTCCCGAAAAAACTCGCACTTAGAGCCCTTGGTGAGTAACCGATGTTCCTCTAAAACTTTAAATACTGCTTCGAGATCCGCTAAGTGCTGCTGCTTGTCGCGACTGTAGACGAGGATGTCGTCGAGGTAAACTATCACGCATTTATCTAAGAGTGGCCTAAACGCCTCGTTCATGGTCATCTGAAATGTTGCGGGCGCGTTGGTCAGCCCGAAAGGCATCACCGTGTACTCAAACGACCCGTACCTAGTCCTAAATGCTGTCTTGGCGCAGTCCGATGGTTCGACCCGAATCTGATGGTAACCCCCCCGTAAGTCTATTTTCGAAAACACCCGTGCTGTTCGCAGTTGGTCGATCAGTTCGTCGGCGTGGGGAATGGGGTACCGCGACTTGACTGTTACCCTGTTGAGCGCTCGGTAATCGATGCACATGCGAAATCCTCCGTCTTTTTTCGGTGTGAACAGTATCGGTGCGGCGAACGGTGACGAACTTGGTCGAATAAACTGCTTCTCTAACAAATAATCTAACTGCTTCCTCAGTTCGTCGAGCTCGGGCTGTGTCAGTCTGAATTGGCGCTGTACAGTTGGCTGTGCCCCCGGTTCTAACTCGATCCTATGATCATGCGCCCGCTGAGGTGGCAGCCCTTCCGGTAAGTCGTCTGGAAAAATCCCCGGGTACCGTTTCAACAGTTCCTGTAGTTCGGGCGGTACTGCTGCCAACAGTTTCTGAAAATCGCTCGGCTGCTCCGCTTCTCCTACTAATGCTATATCTACTGCGTACACGTCAGCTCCAGCGGCGACAACCCGTTTCATTGTGATAGCGTTGACGTGTACCGTTGAAGACTCGGGTGACTGCCAGCGAGGTAGCTCGACCCAGTTACCACTACTTCGCACGGTGCAGCTACCCGTCGTCCAGTCAATTCGCGGGTTATATCGTCGCAGCCAATCACGTCCCAGTAAAATATCGTGCCCATCTAGTGTCGTTGCGAGCATTTACTGTGTAAACCCGAAATTTCCCCCGCAGCGGACTTTGACTCTCTCTACCTTTTCCCGTATGGCCAGTGGCGTGCCGTCGACTAAGCGTGCGTCTATCTCCGGTAAGCAACGGCTAAATGTCAGCTGCAGTTTTCGTGCGGTTGCGGTATTAACTAAACTGTGGCTTGCTCCTCCGTCGATAAAAATCTTCACTGCTGCTCCCTGTATTTTCTCGTAGATCAGTACTGGGCAATCCGTCGTTGTACCCTCCTTATTCATCCGAGCCCGATCGATGGCGTGAATCGGTACTGTGACTCGGTGAGGGTCGGTGCGGTTGGGCGAGCAGGCAGTCTCGTCAGTAGTTGGCCCAACTTCTACTGACTGCTGGCGTTTCCCTGCCTCTGAGACTCCCTTCCCTGCTCTGCTCCGCGGCGCCTTAGCTCCTCTGGGCATTCGCTCTTGCGATGGCCCGGCCTGTTGCAAGCAAAGCAGCGCCCCTTAAACGGTGCGGCAGCTGCATTCGTTGCAACAACGTTTACAGTGGCGTGCTCGATCGGTCCCCGAGGACGATGTCCGTAGTAGGACCCCGGTCTCGGTCGGCGTAGAATGTCGAGTTTCTCGGCGAGCGCGAGAATCTCGTTGAAGTTTGAGAGTCCGCGCAGCATGATTTCGTGCGAGATATCCGGCTTCAGCCCTCCGACGTAACGGTCCACCCGCTCCGCTTCGTGCATGTAGCCGACCTGCTCGCAAAGTGCGAGAAAACCACTCGTGTAATCTTGAACCGACCCGAGCTGCCGCCAAGTGCGCAATCTCTGACGCGCCGAAATAGAAGCCGCGATCGGCTCAAAGCGCGCCCGAAGCCCTGCGCACCACGCATCCCACGTGCTGTATTGGGCGGTCTCGCAGAATGAACTCCAGGTGACAGCTGGACCCGTGGGCCCTTCCTCTTGCGACGGTGGCTCGTAGGCGCGTGGCGACGTCACGATGACTCGCCACCAGTCCATGGCGGGGCCCCTTAGCAGCGAAACTGCATACCGAATCTTCGCTACGTCCGACTCGACGTAATTCGCGTCGAAGAAGACGTTCATCGTGAAGACCCACGATTGAACCGTCGGACCTCCACGCTGGCTCGGGTCGAAACAGGGCGGGCGTTGCGGCTTGAGTGGCATTGGTGCCATGATGGCCTGTTCGCCACTTGTCGCCGCGAACTCCACGTGCCGACGGGCTTCGCGAGGCTCCCGCGGGCTTGGTGCGACCCTGTTTCCTCCCATGCCAGGCATCGGCTGGGCGGCGCCATCGCTGGCTGCGCCTGAGCGCTGTCCCACGCTGTTGTTTTGTGTTGGTGTGCCGGACGAGATGACGATCGGCTCGTCTGATTGTGCAGATGCATTTGTCGGTGCGTGTGGTGGCGCTGGAGTGTTCATCGTTGATTGCTGACGCGCGGAGTCACGTTCCGCCGTGAGCGTCGCAATTTCGAGCGCCGAATCCTCGAGTTGGCGCACCAGACGGTCGAGCTGCTCCTGCGTCAATGTGGCGAGCGTGAATTCGGCCATGGCGGGGGTGTCGGGCGAGCTCAGCGAGAGCCTCAATCGTGGCCGTGCGTGCTTACGAGAGAGCACTACGAGCGGCGGTGCTGTGTCGCTGAGAGACGTCTACCCCCCCCAAAAAATTGAGATAGTGAGGAAGCGAAGGTGTGGATGCGGTCCGAGAAGAGGTCGTAGGCTCTGAATACCAAGTGTTACGAGTGCAATTGAGTGAACGAACGAGAATTGCACTATCGAAGCAAGAGTACAATGAGCGAAGGCATGAGCGAAGAATATATAGCGAAACTACAGTGGTAACGGTAATGGACTGTGGTTGTCGTGCGACGGGCCTGGGACTGAGGTTGGGAAAAAGTGTCGAAGCGGAGGCCCGGAGCGCGGGTTACCCGCCGAGCCGTGAGGTCGGGGTGCGATGTGCGTAGGTGGCGGGCAGATTGTCGATGCGAGGGTTGCGAGTGGTAACGGTGCTGGCTGTGGTGCTAGAGTGATGTACGCGTTGAGCAGGGATGCGAAGTAAGGAAAAGGAATTTTCCTTACATCTTCCCTCAATACTCGCTCTCCTCCACATCCACTGACACCCCCCCTGCCGCTCACGTCTGTCGCCGCTTCACTCTTCCTCCAAGCTCGAAACCTTCAGTTCATGGTCCCAACCACGAGCGATCCCATCCAAACCACACCCCACCTCATCTCGCCACACCAAAACCTAGTCCCTTGTGTTTTTGTTTTTTCGTCAGCCCATTTTCTCCCTAGCTAGGCTCTGCCGATGATCTCGCCTCGCCGCTAGTTCCCTAAAACGGTCCTCCATTTTCCGCTCCGCCCCGTCGCCACCTTCATTCGCACATCCGCCGCGTCGCCTGCCGTCATGCATAACGTCACGCGCGCGGCGCTTAGGGGCCTCGCGTCCTCCTCGTCCCGAGGTCCCTCCCGCCTTCCCGCCGCTGCCGCCGCGACCACCTCCCGCCTCCTCTCCACCGCCGCTCCCGCCGCTCCCGCCGCATCCGGCCCCGCGCCACCCGCTTCCGCCCCGCCTCCCCCCCCTCCCCCGCCAGAGAAAACCGTTTTCGGCGGACTATCGGATGCGGATCGGATCTTCACGAATCTGTACGGGCTGCACGATCCGTTTATTAAGGGCGCGATGCAGCGCGGCGACTGGCACCGCACGAAAGACCTCGTCGTCAAAGGCACCGACTGGATCATCAACGAGATGAAGAAATCCGGGCTGCGCGGGCGCGGCGGCGCGGGGTTCCCGTCGGGCCTTAAGTGGTCCTTCATGCCCAAGGTGAATCCCGACGGCCGCCCGTCGTACCTCGTGGTTAACGCAGACGAGAGCGAGCCGGGCACGTGCAAGGATCGCGAGATCATGCGCCACGACCCGCACAAGCTCATCGAGGGGTGCCTCATCGCGGGGGTGGGCATGCGCGCGCGCTACGGGTACATTTACATCCGCGGAGAGTACGTCAACGAGCGCAAGGCCGTCGAGCGCGCCGTCGCGGAGGCGTACGCGAAGGGATTCCTGGGCCGCAACGCGTGCGGAAGCGGGTACGATTTCGACCTGTACGTGCACCACGGCGCGGGCGCGTACATCTGCGGAGAGGAAACCGCGCTGCTGGAGTCGCTCGAAGGCAAGCAGGGCAAGCCGCGTCTGAAGCCGCCGTTTCCGGCGAACGCGGGGCTGTACGGATGCCCGACGACGGTGACGAACGTGGAGACCGTCGCCGTGTCGCCGACGATCCTGCGACGCGGGCCGGAGTGGTTCGCGTCGTTCGGGCGCAAGAACAACAGCGGCACGAAGCTGTTCTGCATCTCGGGGCACGTGAACAAGCCGTGCACGGTGGAGGAGGAGATGAGCATCCCGCTCAAAGAGCTCATCGAGCGCCACGCGGGCGGCGTGCGCGGCGGGTGGGACAACCTCCTCGCGATCATCCCGGGCGGCTCGTCAGTGCCCATGCTCCCTAAACCCATCTGCGACGACGTGCTAATGGATTTCGACGCGCTGAAAGCGGTGCAGTCCGGTTTAGGCACAGCTGCAGTGATCGTGATGGATAAGAGCACTGACGTCGTCGACGCGATCGCGCGGCTGTCGTATTTCTACAAGCACGAGAGCTGCGGGCAGTGCACGCCGTGCAGGGAGGGCACGCCGTGGCTGTGGCAGCTGCTGGAGCGCATGAAGGTGGGCGACGCGCTAATGGAGGAGGTGGATATGCTGCAGGAGATCACGAAGCAGATCGAGGGGCACACCATCTGCGCGCTCGGGGACGCCGCCGCGTGGCCCGTGCAGGGGCTGCTGCGCCACTTCCGCCCCGAGATTGAGCGCCGTATTGAGGCGCGCGCCGCCGCTGCTGCTGCTGCTGTTGCCGCTGGTGGTGCTGGTGAGTGGGCGGCGGGAAGAGGGATGGGAGAGTGCGGCCAGGGGATGATGGCAGGGATGGGAGGGTGTGTAGAGGGTGGGATTTTGCAGCAAGGGTTGAGAGATGTATGGTGGTGGGTGCCACAAGAGGAGTTGAAAGACGGACGTGTTTCGAGTGCGTGATGGCATGCATGATCCATTTCTGACACGCCCATTAGTTGAATACACATCGGTCATTTACTACAACCTCCCTCCGTTAGCCGCCTAGTTCATAGTGCATCGTCTCACAAAGCCATTCTTCTCTGTTCCTCTTTCCCCCTTGTTTCTTGATGCCCCCAGAGGTGCCAGCACAGCAAGTGGCGAGTGCGGGCATGTGAGGGCTCGCCACCCTGACCAGTCAGCCCCATTGCATGGAGAATGGAGATTCTCACATCATTACTGCACCACTCGCCCATATTCTGGGATGGAGGAAGGGGGAGAGGAGGGAATGTCCACAATGCCCCACCCATCCCCACGCTGCTCAGTGCATGTAGCAGCCTTGATGTGAAGAGTGCCGTTGCACCATGCGGGATGTGTCTCCATTTGATCTGGACCAACTGTTTCACCCTGTCTCGGATCTGCTCTGTACATCCCCAAACCATGGTGTAGTCACTTGCCTTTCTGCTCCATGTTTGTTAGATGCATGCTGTGTAAAACATTTTCTTTTTAGAATCCCATGAATAAGATCTCATGTTTTATTCAGGAAACCAAATCAGCCTGTATGTTATGATTGAACTTGCAGAGTGCGCAGAATAGCGAATAACGAGAATGAGAATTACAGAATTACTGAATGACTGAACACACAAAGTGACGAGGCCTAAATAGGGGAAGTCCTAGCTAGGCGGGGGGTTCGGGAAAGGAAGGCTCGGTGATGGTTGCGATTGGTGCGGAGGCGACTCGGGAGTGGTTCGGTGCGACGAAATAGGAAGGACAGGTTCGTCGCGTGACCCTCGGGATGGCCTCGATAACGAGTGCCTCAGTAAGGATTTGTAAATCCTTACACTCTCCCACCTTCTAAATAAGGCAGTCCTGTACTGAAAACAGACCCCACACTAGCAAGGATGCCGTCGATCTCCTCTTCAGCTGAATCCGACGGCCGAAATGCCTTTGACAATAATTTTGAAAAGGTTGGAATGTAGGCCGTTGATGAAGTCCAATTTCGATCTGACGGTCGAAGATGAACTGACCCAAATTGAAGTAGAAGTTGGAATGTGGGCCGTTGATCGAGTAAGTGCGAATCTGACGGTCGAGGCAGATGCGATTTTGGAGGGAACAGACTGACGCGAAATTCAATCGCGATCAATCTAGAGCCGTCGATCTTGTCGGTGTAATCGCGATCGTCCGTCGTGCTGACGCAACCTGACAAAGGTCAAGAAGAAAGCCGAGAAAACGCCAAGGAAAGAAACAGTGCCGAACACTTTCTCTCCCCCCCCCCCCCCCCCCCCTTCCAAGAAAACACACCAGAAAATGTTTCACAGCTGCTCCGAGAGGAAAACCAACAGAATCCAGGTGTTAAGTCCCAAAAAACGAGTGATGAGCGAAGAAGTCCAGGTGAAATCGCGTCGGTGTGGAAACTCGATGACGAAAACCAGGTAAGCCGTGCCCAAAATTCTTCAAGGGCGATCCCGTTGACGTAGACCAGAAACCGTGATGAGAATTCGCCGTTGCACGAACTGTCGACATTTGTCTTTACACCACCGAAACTTTCGGTGGTCCCTTCCGCAGCTGCAGCTGGCAGCAGTTGAAATCGAATCGTTTGTCGTGGGCGGGTCGAGTTGGGCGATTTGTCGCTAGTAGAGTTGGAAGTCCCGTCCCGAAATCCTCTGGCCATGAAATCGGGGTGTGGCGAAAATGTCGTCGATGAATACGATTGATGGCGAATTCGAATACGAGAGTCAGCGATGGTCGTCGCAGATGTAACCAAAATCGAATGTCACTCCGAAAATGTTGTCGAGCACGATCCAGCGTCAGATGATATCAGCACCTCCGGCGGTTTTGTCCAGACTCGACGAGCAATTTGTCGGAATGCGCCGAGGTCTCCTGGGCAGGGATGAAAAATTGCAGCTGTCTCTCCCCCCCCTTCACTTTTGCTGCCGCCTTCTTCAGTTCGTCGTAAGTCGTTCGTACCCCTTGAAAACTCCGTGTAGTTCTCGCGGTGTTGCCCCATGTCGTTTGCGCGCGCGTTTAACCGAACGCCGCAACTCCTCCGAAACTGTCGGCGCTTTTGGCCGTAAAACCGGTATGTCCCCACGTAAAACTCCGAAATAGTCGCTCGAATCAAGCCCCGTAAATCCGCAGTTGCAGTTGCAGTTCGCCTCCGAAAATCTCGGACGTACTATAGCCGCCCACCCGGTCACCATCAGTTTCCGTCGGTTACCCGACCCCAGCATGTGGGTTCAATCAAGAACCGGGGACTGCCCTGGGCTATTCCGAGACCGAATTTCACGGAACCTAGTGGCATCAACGCCGTTGACTTCGTCGTTGAAACTGCTCCCGCCGATGCTGCTTAACAAAATACCACGTTTCTCCCACCAGCGCTTTGCAGATGTTTCACCGCATCGCTCGTCGCCGGTCGATAAGGTCCCGAAGCTACGACTGCTCCCACGCTCCCTTTTTTCTGAAGAATTTCCCGAGGTGTGCGTTTAAACACCGGGGGTCCTAGGTATCCTTGCCGCTGTGTTTCTTGCCAGGCAACTTCGATAAGTGCCTTTAAGGCAAGTCCCCCAACGGCTCAACCGCACTCCAAGAAGCGAAGAAATACCCGCAGCTTCATATTTTTTTGGTCGTTTCACCCCCCGACAATTCCGCTTCCCGCCGTTCACCCAGCGTCCGCTTTTGTCGGATGGGGTATAGTCGGTGTTGCCCGCGCGAACCCGTCTACGGTGGAGGGGGACACTCCTATCGGAGTCGGGGACCCTTATTTAAAAGGAAATTTTGCCCAACCGTTTTGCAGCCCACCGCAAACGTCGCGCCACTAAACTCCACAGCTCCCGGTCCCTGCAGCCGCTGCGACGTCACCTCGTGTAGACGCCCGGGTCAGGAGAAACCAGCGAACTGCACCAATGTTGTCCGTGCGGCGCCCCGATTTTTTCGCGTGCTGTTTCATCCAGCCCGCTTTTGTCGGAGCAGAACAGTGCCGCAACTCCCATTATTTTGTCTTTTCTGTACAGCTGTCGAACGGGCACCAAAACCAGGTGCTTTTAACCAGCGCAGGGTAGGCTCGTGTTCACCCCCGTTATTCATCCGAATAAGGTCGACTGCATGAGTCGGAACCAGTAATCGGTGGGGATGGTGAGGTTCGGGCGAAGTAGGGCCGCAGATCGGTTCCACCGGCTTTTATCTGCTCCCCACGACGTTCTTCAACCCCCGCTTAGCCGTTGGGCCGTCTCTTTTTGCGTGTCCCGGCGGCCTGCACCACACTCCGAAATTGTCGGGGTAGCACCTTGAACACCGTTTAATCGTGGGCTGCTGCGGCTGTCCCCGAAAACGGCTTCCTTGAACGGGGAAACCGATCTCGAAACTGTCGAACAGCTGGCAAGCAGCTCCAGGCACGCAGCAACAAACGAGTATTTTTCGGGTGTTCAGTCCCGATATGCCCTCGCGCCTGCGCCCCACTCCCGCAAAGTGCGATTCAGCCACGTCGTTGTCTGTTGCAGCCCGTAAGTGTCGGCGGGTCCAAAGTTCCCGTCTGTCCACAAGCACTTCTGCCGAAAATCGTCGACGACTCGCCCGCCAGTACGGTAAGCGCCGTACTTTCCGGTCGGACGGGATAAAACCCAACCCCCGCTTAATTCGGGCGGTTTGAGAGTCTATCTCTCCCAGCCGTCGGGATCCTCTGACGCAAAACTCCATTTGCGCCTGGCGAGTTCCCCAGCCGACTATTTTCTCCACAGTTGCTCCGAAATTATCGCCCACAGTGACGCACGTCCGTTGTCGCCAGCTGCCGAAACACATTCCGTGAGTCATGCGCGCAAAATGACGACGAGCCACCGTCGTAACTTGCCGCTTCGAACGAACTCCGAAATTGTCGCGCAGCTGTTGACCCAGGGCCGACGGCGTCAACTGCCACACACGTTGACGACTCCGCGAATTTCGTGCAGGTGCCGACGCAGGTCCGTGTCAGAACATATATATAGCTTATGCTGTTGTGTAGGCTATAGTGGGGTATCCCATAGGGGGTACAACACAATTAGGGTTTCCCATATGTACTCACTTCATTCATAGTTCATTCATCCTCGTTCTACTTTTCTCATGGTATCGAGCAGGTTCCCTCGTGGGAACTGTTCTTAGGGCCCACCGGTTTTTTTTCCTGCCCGGAGCGCACTCTGCCCCTACCCGAGTCGCGCTCCCCTCTCTCTTGGCCCCTAGTGGCCCCTTTAGCCGCCCGTCCCGGCCCCTTAGACGCCCGCGTACCGCCCGTCCCGGCCCCTAGACGCCAGTGCGCCGCCCGGCCCGGCCCCTAGACGCCCGCGCGCCGCCCGTCCCGGCCCCTAGACGCCCGCGCGCCGCCCGTCCCGGCCCCTAGACGCCCGCACGCCGCCAGTCCCGGCCCCTCGACGCCCGCGCGCCGCCCGTCCCGGCCCCTCGACGCCCGCGCGCCGCCCGTCCCGGCCCCTCGCCGCCCGTGAGCCGCCCGTCCCGGCCCCTAGACGCCCGCGCGCCGCCCGTCCCGGCCCCTAGACGCCCGCGCGCCGCCCGTCCCGGCCCCTCGACGCCCGCGCGCCGCCCGTCCGGGCCCCTCGACGCCCGCGCGCCGCCCGTCCCGGCCCCACGCCGCCCTACCTGCGGCCTACTCGCCGCCCTACCTACGGCTCGCCCGCCGCCCTAACTGCGGCCTGCCCGCCGCCCTACTTGCGGCCCTACCGCCCCCCTACCTACGGCCCGACCGCCGCCCTACCTGCGGCCCAACCGCCGCCCTACCTGCGGGAGCCGCCTAGCAGCTGAACCGCCGGAAGCCGAGCCGCCCTGCCGCCGAGCCGCCCGGGAGCCGAGCCGCCCTGCCGCCGAGTCGCCCGGGAGCCGAGCCGCCCTGCCGCCGAGCCGCCCGGGAGCCGAGCCGCCCTGCCGCCGAGCCGCCCGGGCGCCGAGCCGCACTGCCGCCGAGCCGCTGAGCAGCCGAGCCGCCCTACTGCCGGGCCACCCGACCTGCCCTGTCCGGTGAGCACAGCCCCACTGTCACTGCGTGCCCTTCCCCTACTGCTTGCACTGCTCGTCTGTCGTCGTCATGGCTACCCCTAGCGTCCTCGCTTTTGACGCTGAGGGTCGAGCCATTGACTTTGAGGTCTGGGTCGACGACCTGCAGCTGTTCTTACAGTGCGATAGGGCGGACGGTCTTTCC